CAAGGAAGGTTCATCGGGAGCCCAGCAGCCGCAGCCCTGCTCAGGTCCAGTCTTCCCCCTCCCTTGTCCTTCGCCATGGCTCCTGACGGCACAGTTTTCAAGCAGGACTGGAATAGTGAGCAGGGACTCGGTTGAAGGTGTGGAGTGGAGGGAAGAAAACAGAACTGAGGGAAGGAGGAGCTCTTTGGGGAGGAGCTTGTTTCCTTTCACCTTAGATTTTCCTTTTGTGAGAGCTCAGTGGGAGCAGCTCAGTGTGGAAGCAGTTGCACCTGGTGAGCAGGTGCCTGTCATGGCAGGGCAGGGCAGGGGACAGACACAGCTCCATGGATGAAGCAGGGCATGGCGGGAGGAAAGAACCTAATAGGTTTCCCGGAGGGAAGAGACCACACTCAGGGGGTTCCCTTTCCTATACCTGACACTCACAGTACCCTGTGAGACACTGTTCTCTGGTGACAGGGAGGGGATGGGCTCAATTCTCCCAGAGGTGAGGTGGCAAAGGTCAGCCTGGGCTCCAGTGCAGGGGAACTCTGGGTCGCTCTTTCTCCTGAGCCACGAAGAGCAGTTGGGCCCCACAGAGCAGGGCTGGAGGGAGCTGCCTCCTCGTGGGCAGTGCCCCAGGGTCAGTGCCTGGGACAGGGGAGGGGCCTCCCCAAGACAATGTTGTGCTCATCTGTGGTCCTGATTAGGTGGAGGGCTGGGGAGGAAGTGAGCACCTGGGCTCTATCCGGAGGAGAGGACTCTGAAGGGAAACCCCAGGGTCTGATCAGAAGGCCTATAAGGCCCTCAGGGGGTCCCCTTTTCCATCCCCAATTATTCTGCATAATGGCTCTTAGCCAAAGATCCCCTCTGTTGGAGAGGAAGAGAGGAACCCCCAGAGAAGAGGAAGTTGAGTACCTGGAGAGGGGGCACCAGACTCGTTAGCAGCAGTAGCCATGATGTCAGCAGCGTTGCCTCTGAGAGTTTTCCTTCCAGCTCACCTGGGTGTCCAGGCTGGAGGGGAGGAGGAAAGAGATCATGAACTGGAATGGGAGCCAAATGCGGCAAAAGTGGCAAGAGCCGGGGGCTAGGGTCCGCGTCTCCTAGGCTTCCCTCCACGATAGCAGGGAAGGTCAAAACAGCTGTCGCCTGGGTGTGCTCTGTCCCCCAGGCTCTGGGCTGCTATTTAATGGAAGGCAGGCATCCTGCTCTAGGTCCCTGTGTCTTCACCCATGCCAGGCAGAGGCTCCAGGTCTTATGAGGAAACAGGGGGGGCAATGGGGTGAGGACACAGCTTTGTAGAACCTGTGGACCCCACACATAGGGGACAGATGAGAAACCATGTTGCGCTAAGAACCTAGCCGAGAACACCCATGTTCACTAATGATGCTGGTTGGTGTTTATCAAGGGTCTGCAATGTGCAGCCTCCTTCCCTGCACGCTTCTCATTCCAAATCCATATCTGGTACCTGTGCCCATGGCCCTGTCTTCGTAAACTCCCCTGTGTCCTGAGGTGTCTGAGGTCTTTCCTTCCTTGCTTCTGTACTGCTGCAGCTGCCCACTGCTCTCTGCTGCCTGCCCTACATATTGCATCTCACAGTGCTTTTCATCCTTTTCATAAGAACAATGGTGCAGAGCATTCTCCTTGTGTAAGCTTTGACTCCATGATGTACCCTCATTTGGTGACACTCTCCACCATCTTAAGGTGCCTCAGTACGGTCTTCTCTGAGGTCTAGGAGATGATGCCTCCATGCTCTTAGAATTCCCGGCTTCCATGAGCTAAATAATTCCCAAGTTTTTAAATGACCTGGGCTCAGGGTTTTTGTTATATCCACAGACGCGTTCTTTCTTGGCTCCAAAGAATGACTGTTATTTTGTTATCAAGGACAGCTTTACCTGGTTCTGGTCCCTGCCCCCCACAGATAGGGTTGCTGAGATGCCCATAGGTAGAGGCACCCCTCACTTTCCACAGCCACAGTGCAGAGCCTCCTCCACCCACCCAACCTGAGACCATCCACAAGGGGCTGTTTCTAGTGCCCCTGCCTGAGGGCTGTGAAATCACACCCCGCCTCCCTCAAGATATGAAGTGAAGTCCACCTGTTCCACTGACCATGGGAGTGACCAGCAGGTCCCTGGGCTGGGGGACACGGCCTTCAGAGACACAGATGACTTCTGCCACGTGAGAAGGAAAGAATAAGCCATGCGGGTGCGATGTGTCCCTGTCAGGCCCACCCAGGGTGGGGACAGCTCCCAGCAAGTCCTTTCCTCTGACTAGGATGCAGCAGGTCTGGTCACATCTGGTTCCAGCTCTTTGCTCTGTGACATTGTCTCAGTACAAGGCTCCCATGCCCACTGGATGCCTGGCCACCAAGTACAAAGAGACCCTCTTCCCCTCTCACCTGGCAGCTCCTGGTCTTGGCCGCAGGACAGACAGCTGTCTGATTTCTGGGACTCCTCCTTGTTAGTGGTGACTGTCTGACCCATATCTGATGAATAAGGCACAAGAGAAAGTTGGCTGAGGGAATTCTCAGGTCTTGTGCCTCTAAGGGATGGGAGTGCCAGGACAGCCGGTTGCCCCTTTCACCTTCTTCCTGTGTCCAATCCTCCCTGACACAGACACCCTGCATGTGAAGGTCTCCTGATGCTGGGTCTATGAGCTGAGACAGAGGACGGGTGAGGCAGGAAGACCTGGGGTCTTGGGGACGCCACACATCGTCAGTGAGTCTGCACCCTGGGTCTCATCCTTCCTTCTCACTCTCAGTCGGGCCCTCACTCTTGTTTGGAGCCTCAGCCAGATGCCTGGGAGGGACACAGTGTGCAAGGCACTGTGGCTGAGACTGCCAACTTCTCAGTTCTCTCAAAGGCTGTTAATGGAAGTGAAAGGCAGTGCCTGGGAAGAAGCCAGGATGGCGCCTGCCTGGCTCTGTCCTGGCCACAGCCTCAGCCCAGCAAGGAGCCCTCCCTACCCCATCAGCTGTGTTCGGGTTCTCCAAAGCAAGTGAACAGAGCATAGACTCTTCCTCTCACTGGTCGATATGGTTTCCTTCCAAGGGTTACGACAGCACACGCCTGCTAAGGGATCCTTCATGAGCTGCTAAGGTCAAGTTCAAGCCCTGAACCCGGCACCCAGGCCCTGCTGCCTGCTGCAGCTCCTCCGTCCTCACCTCTCCCTACCCACCGTGCACCTTCGATCCAGGCCCTTCCTGGACAATGATCTGCACATCGGACTGGAGACCTGTGCTGGGCTGTGCCCTCCCCTGGACACCTGCCCCACCTCCTCTCCATGCCAGGCCCATCTCCTCCCTGCTGGCTGCACCAAGCTTTCCAGGGCTCCCCTGGAAGGAGGACACTCCTGGGTCCTTCTGTCTGGACACCCAGCACAATGTGTTCACCCAAGCCAGGGCCCCTGTTGCCCTCTACCAGCTCAACCACCTTCCCTGGGTTCCAGGCAGCTCAGTTCCCTCCCAGGGCTTCAGTTACCCCTAGGCCCTGGCACAGAGAAAGTGCCCAGAAACAGTGTGGGTTAGATAACTACTGGGCTCCTTCTATCTGAAAAGAAGCCCTTTGTCCTCACACGCCTCTGCAATAGTCCCAGCCTCAGGGTGACCAAGCCACAAGGCCAGGAGGGCTCTGGGTTCTCTGGCCTCCTCCAACTTTGGTTCCTCCAAATTTTCAAAAGCTCTGGCCACTTCCACATCCGCCTCTTCTCAGGGTCATCTGGCTGTTTCTCAGTCCACCTGAGTGAGCCCAGGGACGCTTTGTGACCCATCTGTGTGATCTTCTCCTCTCTTCCGTTTAAGGTCCTTGGGAGGGGAATAGTCAGACACAAACCTGGGTACAAATCCAGCCTCTATTGCTGTTGAATTGTGTGATCTGGGGCCTATTCCCTAGCTCTCAGAGCTCATCTGTGACCTGGGGACACCAATGCTGTTCTGGCTTCCCCAACTTGCCAAAGAATCCACCTCTGTCCGTGTTGGGACTCACCCCAGCTGTGCTGAGCTTTGCGGATCTTGTTGTCAGCTACAGACTGGGTACTGAGCAGAGATGTCTTCCCGGCAGAGACCCAGGCTCCCAATAGGGAAACTGAAACTCACAAACTGAGCAGCTCATAATCACCCCGCTCCACATTTCTCCTGCTGGGCACCACCCTCACCCCACCCTCCTGCTGACCCACAGAGAGGAGCCAGCTCAGCCTCACATGCCAGGTGCTCTAAGCCAGCCCACATTGGTTGGGGGAAGAATGATCAGCTACTGACAGATGGGGGGACCCTCTAGTCACCATGTCCTGTGCCCCTAGGGATGGTACCCCACCTCACTCACCACACACACCAGCTCCCAGCACACCCTGGCACGGCATCGGAGTGGCTCCAACACCCAATGAACTATGCTGCCTGCTTAGTGGATGCCTGCTATGGATATCCTGTCTGTGCAGTGGGGGAGGGCAGCGCGGGGGATGGAACAAGGGCCTTGCCAATACTGAGCAAGTGCTGTACTGCAGGCCACATGGGGCTCCTAGACTTTTACTTGTGCGGGGTCTTCCTCCAGAGCACCTCCTCACCCTTGGAGCTGTCATGCGCAGCTTCCCCTGAGTCCCTCTGTATCTCTGCCAAGACTCCACTGCCCGATGCTCTCCTCCAACCTAGTCCCAGTGTTTAACCCCAAACCCCGTCCTTTCTCCCTCTCAGAACCAACACGAAGGCCAAGGACCTGCTGAGCAATGAAAGAGGCTTTTATTCCTGCCTGAGAAGTGGGAGACAGACTCCAAAGCCATCTTCTCAACCTGCTAGGGGTGGGAAGTCAGAAGTGTGAGGTGTAGAAAATGAGGAGGGGGAGAGGGAAATCATTACCTTCTTTTCTGGGATGGGCTGAGATCTTCCTGGAACTTGGGCACCACCTCTTTTCACTTTGTTAATTGTTCTTTCAAGCCATCTCCATGGCCACTGTCCACAGTCATCTCCCTGGGAGGGGGAGATGCTCAGCATACGAGTGGGATTAGAATGAGGGGAGAGGTTGCCGGGTGGTCACACTCACAGCCACCTCAGGTGCCACCAATTCCAGCTAAGGAATGAACTGTGGCCCTCAGGCATCCAGTCTTCAGAGATAAATAAGAATAGGCAGGGTAGAAAATCAGCTAGCTCAGTAGGCATTAGAGGCCTGGGGCAGAGGAGCACTTCAGCATGTTTTGGGCCAGGACCGCTGCACATCCAGCCTAGTGAGTCGCACAGCTGAGTTTCAGGGGGAATTTTCTGCTTCACCCCGGGTAGAAGACGCTGGGAGAGCTGGGAGGGGGCCGGACCCCACAAGTCAGCCTGGGCCTGTCCTGCAGTGGGCAAATGTCGATGAGGCCTCACCCTGACACTCTGGCCATGAAGGAAGGTCATTGTGTGACCACACAATAAAGCCTGCACGGCTTTTACTGCTCTTTGATTGCACTGACATTATAATTCCCTGAAATGCTTCATTTTTCCTCTGTGTGTAAAATAGGGTGATGATAACTGTACATATGGATGGGGTCTGATTCTGCAAGTGAGGAAACTGAGGTAAAGAGAAAGTCTGGATTTCAATGGGAAACTCAGAAGAGGAGCCAAAACTCAACCTATTTGACCTTGGTACATTTGACATGTGTGGCCACCATTCTTTGTCTAAGGGCTTTTTGTTTCATTTGTCACTGTTTTCTGTAACCTCCCTTCCCCTGATTCCTCCGTTTCGCTAGCGTGTCTTTAGCTTAACATCCACACAAACACACAGTGAGGTGCAGGACCTGTTCTAGATCCACAGGAGCTCTAGTTCCACTGTGTGGATCCCCTCATCAGCAAGGACAGTGGACTAGGCCATCTTTGACAGGTAGAGCATGTTGTCATGGTAGAACCTTGAAAATGAGGTCCAGACTCAGCTCCGGGGACAAACAGGTCTCCTGTCTCCTAGGATGAGCAGAGACTGTTCCACTGCAGATCCTAACATCTGCTACAAAACACCTCAACTCAGCTGCTTGCTGACATTAAAGGAAAAGTCGGGGCTGGGGATTTAGCTCAGCGGCAAAAGCTCCTGCCTGGCAAGCGCAAGGTCATGAGTTCGGTTCCCGGTACCGGAGAAAAACCAAAAAAATAAAAAATAAAAAATAAAAAAATAAAGGAAAAGTCACCAGGTATGGCTGCAGCTCCACAGTTGGGGACCTGGAAAAACTCAGCTCTCCAAGCAGCCTCTGCCCCCTGAGATGGGGATCCTGATGCAGTGGGAAAGCGGCCCTGACACTACTCTGGAGACACCTGGCAAAGAGCGCCACATCCCCCATGGAAGGGGGAGGGTCCACAGCCATGGCACCCAGGGACCCGCTCCTCTCACCCTGCCCAGCCCTGGAGAGGGGGGCTTCACTCAACCAGCTGCACACAGTGTTGGGTGGTCCAGGACAGGCACCTCATCTGTTCCTCCTTTCTCTAGGGACCATGGAAGGGATGGGTAATATATACCTAACATAAGGGTACCATCTTAGTCATTTTGAAGTGTGTTATTCAACAGCTTTCCTTGCATTCACATAGCAGTACCCTTGTTGCCACCATCCTTAAAACTCTTTGCAACTTGCAAAACTGTAGTCTGCATCCCTTCAATGATAACTTTGATATTTAAAAATGAATTGTGTGGCTCCTGTGAAATCACCCTCTGTCCTTCCCTCATGGAGGGAGTCCTTGCCATGTGACACGGGACCTCTGAAAAGATCACCAAGTTACCGGGAGAGACCAGCTTTCTAGGACTGCCAAGCCCAGGGCTGGCAGTGTGAATGTATTTGTTACACTTTCATCACTTTTATCATTGCTTGACACTTCATCACTTTCATGACTGTGTGACAAAAACAGCTTAAATGGGGAACACTTGATTTGGCTCAGAGTTTACGAGGTTTCCATCCATAGTTGGCTGGCTCCAAGGCAGCAATACCATGGCAGAGTGCATGGACAACAGCTTCTAACTCCTCAGCCGAGAAGCAGAAAGCAAGAAACAGCCAAGAGAGGAGAAGCGCGTGGAGCAGGATACACCTTGAAAGGAGCACCCAGTGGCCACTTCCATTCAAATGGCCATTCCTCTATGACCCCATCAATTGCATCCGCGACCTGGTATGTCTTCTGGCTCCACCTCTGAGAGCCGTTGCTTTGGTGTTGAAACCTTCAATGAGGGAGTCTCTGGTGGACACTGCATACTTAAACCATGACAGGGAGAGAATGCGATCCATGCCCACAATCCCTGATGACTGGATGCAGAGTGGAAGGGGCCACCACTAGTCCTGGCCATCAAGAGCCAGACCACCAGCCTCATGTGCCCAACAGTCCTAGTTGTCTTTCCTCAGATGGGAAAATCCAGCTTGGCTCACAGGTATCAATTTCAGGAAAGTTTAGACCCAAGTGTAATGATGTCAGAATCAAACCCATAATCTTAATGTTTTTGTGTTGAGATCAGTATCTATATGTATGTATTTATTTTTTATTTTCAAACAGGGACTCGCTATGTTGTCCAGGCTGCTGTCCTCCTGCGTTTTCAGGTGGTCTCTCTCTCTCCCAATCACTCATGCTGCTATCTGTCATGTGAAGCAGACACAGGGGCCTCAGCAGAGCCTGCACCATGCTGTGTGGACTCTCAGCTTCCATAATTTCAAGTGAAATGAACATGTGTTACCAGCCTCAAGTAGTCCACCAAAAGAACAGAAAGTTGAGTAACAGAAGCAGTGGAGGACCCATGAGCATGAGTCAGGAGCAAATGCCCAGGAAGGTGGCAGCATTTGGGGGCTCTGCCCAGCACACTCTGAAGAATGGAGGAAGCAAGGATCGTTCACCTGTAAGGGACTTTGGTCTGTAGCCCCTGCACTTCCAGCCATGAAGCCCCAGGTCTTCATGGAGGATGGGTCAGGCACCTGGGCCCTGCCCACCCGCTGCTGGTCCAGTAGAAGTCCTGGAAGCCAAGAATGAAGCCTCACCTGAGTAGGGGCCGAGATATAAAAAGGTGAGAGAACAGGAATGCTGGCAGAACAGAAATGGAGCCTTTTATCATGGCTGTGGGCTTGAACACACATGGTCATTTTGAATACTTGAGTGTGCACATTTGAATGCCCTGAGCCCAAAGTTTTTAAGTCAGGACTGCAGAGGGCACGAAGATATGTGTTTCAACACCTTCTCAGGTGTTGCTGCCACTGCTGGGCCGGGGTCTCCACTCTGAGAAGCATTGGCTACATCAAGCTAACTCTCATACAAAAGGCATCTTCATAGTTAAAAAGTAAACAGCTAAGGATAAGAAGAGAAAATTTAAGAGAAAA